GAGTCTCTCTGTTGGGCCTTTTTTTATTGGGGTTTTCTAAGAGGGCACAGAGTTTAACACGAACTTGACACAATGCGTTCTCCATAAGGAGGCGGTTTGTCTTACACGTGCGTTGAATTATTGGCCCCCTCGGAGGCCTCTTAGGGCCCTCATAGGGCTCCAAAGCGAGGGCCCCAAGATGGCTCCAACAGGACCCATTTCTTCAACACAAATTTACCAAGACGCTCTCCAATAAGGAGGCGGCTTGTGCTTAATGTGTGTTGAACTCTTGGCCCTCTCGGAAACCTCTTAAGGGCCGTCAGAAGGCTCCCGCAGGGCCTCCAAGGAGGCCCAGGAGGCCCCCACGAGGGCCCCAAGATGGCTCCAAGAGGGCCCGATTTTTTTACAGCAGCACGAGCACCAGCACCACGGGCAGTCCATGCAGCACCAGCAGCGTCGACGCCAGCAGCAGCAACAACAACAACAACAGCAACAGCAACAGCAACAGCAACAGCAACAACAACAACAACAACAACAACAACAACAACAACACCAACAACAACAACAACAACAGCAACAACATCAATAGCAACAACAACGACAGAGGCAGCAACGGAAATATGATTCTAAGATGGACCCAGTAGGGTTTTGAAAGGATCACGAGATTACCCCTGTCGCCCCATGATGCCCACCCCTGCTAAGCAATGGCCCCGTTATGACCCCAGAGCGACGCTGAGGCCCAAAGAGGAAACCGAGACGAACCCACTGTCTTCCGAATGAATTAAGGCTACCGCGTGACCCCGATGTCAGGTGGCCCTGGGACGACCCCATGAGCCCAAGACGACTTCGAGATTGCCCAAATATGACCCCTTTTCAAACCCTAGTTGACGACCCCAACATTGTGTCAATAGAGCTCCCATGGGACGCCGATGCGTTTCTTTATTCTGCCCTTGTTCTTGGCGTGGGCCGATAGGGCGGATGGGGGTGCTGGCCCTCCGTCCCCTCGTCCTCGTCGCCCTCGCCGTCGTCGCTGTCCGCCTGGTCCCTTGGCCCCATACAAAGTAAAAAACTGAATCCCGAACGCGAGCCGAATCCATCCATGCTCTGATTCTGCATAACCTCGTTGAAGTACTGCTGCAGTGCTTTGCGTAGCGTGTTCTGCTCGGACCAGTTGCCTTTGTCGAATCTTCCCATTGGTAATAATTAGTGACAGGAGTCCGTGAGGTACAACCGTATTGAAGAACGTCCGAGGTATCGAGTGAGCTCATGAGCTGCTCCCTATGTCATTGATTCCCACAATCATTATGCCATCTCCTCCTTGGAGAACTCCACAGAGTACCGAGGACTGTAGGCGAAGCATGATGCTGAGAGGTAGCAACCTAGGACATCGTGAACCCACGTCGCCAATCAGATCCACGTCGATCGTCACATCAGCGACTCCTGGAAATGGAATAAATACCTAATGGGGTCTCAGCTAGTCCTTTGCTGCATTCAGTTATACCGCTGATACCGGCGAATGTGCTCGTCGACGATGCAACCTTGATGACCTTGCCTAACCTAGAGAGGATGTCGGTGATGTACTATTTCACTGCGTCGGTGCCCATGATTGCTTGAGCCGCGCCAGGTTTTCACGAGCACGCCGTGCATAGGCCGCCCTCTAACCGCGTAGAAGTTCTGATATCCTCGAGGATGGAAGTCCCCGTGAGGTCACGAAGGCGTCGTGGGAGGCACCACTTGCTCATGAGAAGCGAATGCCGAAAACTTTGTCGCTGTAAAGAGAGCTGTCCTCGCCAGTGAACTCGCTCCTCAAATGGTTCTCGTAGTTGATGCCGAACTGGAAGGTAACTGGGCCTCTGCGTCATCGGGGCCATTGATGCCGATCTCCTGCATCTGGCGTCTCCAGGCCAAGAGGCTGCCGAAGATGAACTCGGGCATCGAAGGTGAGGTCGGTCGCTCTGGTCGCGATGGTCGAAAGCCCTGCTGTCTCGATGGAGACAAGCATTCTCGAGGAGCGAGGTCCGGCTATCCTTGGAAGCTTGTCTGCCCCGTCGGTGGTGGCGTAGCACTGCTGTCGCCGCTTGCGCCGACAGCTCCCCAATAACCTGATGTATATGCCGCTGCAACATAAGTGCCCGCATATGTCTGAGCCGCCGGGGGTCCATCACCGCGCTCGTACCAGACATCGCCCGTCGACTGCTGATAGAATCCATAGACGTCATCGCCTTCGTGCCGCGACGTGTCTCCGCCTTCAACGTAGTCATCCTCATAAGCTTGTCCTTCGTCTCCAAGGTTAACAGGGCCATCCTCCAAAAAAAAAGTGCCTCCACTGCGGTGCCGAGTGCATTCTTTTCCGCGACCTTTTCGATTGCCTTTGAAGCCTGAAATGAACCGTCCTCTGCCTCGAAAGCCTTTCGAGGAGAGCCTGTTCTTGCCTTTGCCCTTCGAGCGACTGCCCTTCTTGCCGTAGGTCGAGTCATGCTCGCCGAGGTGGTTGGAACATGGTGTCTGACTTTGGTTCTTGCCCTTACTGGACGAATGAAACCTCGATCACCCTGAGAACTCTGACCACCTTGACCACCTGGAAGAGGGCAATCCGTGGTGGAGTACCATTTTGAACCACGCTTGGTGCAACCATCCTGTCTGTTATTGTCGCCCTTGCCTTTGCCCCAGAACTCTCCGGTGTTTTGGGCGTCTGCCGTGGGTTCTGAATCCTGCCAATCCTGATCGTCCCAGTGGGTGCCAGACTGGCCCCACGAGTCGTCGCACCATTCGGAATCGTCCCGCCACGAGTCCTGCCAGGAACTGTTGCCACCTTTGTGGTAGATTGAAGACATGTCGCGCAGCGTAATAAGAATTTCGTCGCATCGTGATCTCCGAACATTCGGATGCAGAGTCGCCGTATATCCGCATATCGAGAAACATCACCATCCACTCGGAGTCTAAGATTGAAATGTGGCCTTTTTGTGAGCTGGGCGCCGCGTGAGAGAAAGCACGTTTTGGCAATATCATTTATCGGCAATTCACGCTGAGATTGTCCATATGACATGGCCAGGTCGTACAATGCAAGATCGTCCCTCTGAACAACTCAAAGAACGCCACAAGTACTTCCCACTGAAGAATTTGCCGATCCATGCTATATTTTTCACGAACACGTATGATGAGGAACTCCGCGCCGCTCTCCTGCTCTGGAACCAACATCGGTACTCCGCCAGCAAGCATAAGCTGCTGCTGTTCGTTGGCCGGCTCCGCGAAGAGCTCTGGTGCCTCCAGTACTCTGTCCTGTGTCCACGCCCAGTCTCTGTTGGCGAAGACTCATAGCAAACTGGAAGACCTGTCCTCTGAGGCGACCACAAACCGCTGAGCCCCACAGGTCCTCTGGAAGATCTGTTTGTAGCCACCATAACTTCAATAGCTGCGCATATCGTCTGATTGGATACTTCTTGATGCCTGTGGCCCATCCTGGAGGAGCTGACCGAGTGAATGAATCCAAGGGAAGTCGTGATCCGCCACAGCTGTCGTTTGCAACCTTTCCATGATCCATGGTGTCTGTAAGCGAGACGCAATACAACAAACCTTGAACTCGAGCGTCGTCGTTCCGGTCAGCTTCTTGAACGTGGGCGTGAGGGCACAGCGCGAGCGTCCAGCCGTCTGCGTCCACGAACTTGGTTACGCCGAGTCTCCTAGCAAACGAAGCGAAGCGAAGCGAACCGTCATCGCCCAGAGGCGGCGCATGGCTGGGCGACGGGCGCGCTGCGAGGCGCGGTGGCCCTCTGAGAGGACCGGGAAAAGGCCATGATCGATTCGCGAGACAGCGCGCATGCATACAGGGGGAGGGGCAGGGGAGGCAAGAAGGAAGCAGCAGGCAAAGATGTGGAAGTGAATGGAAAATTGATAGAAAAGAACGGTGCGGCTCCTCACCGCCACGTGAACTCCACGTACTCGCCCTCCCTTTTCGACCATGCTTCTGTGTCTTGGGCTGCAGACACCCAGGCCCCCAGTGCATCTCTTTAGCAAAGGACGCCAAATCGTCCCCCCATCTGGAAAAGCGCCCCGGGCGCGAGCGGGTCGGACAAGTAATAGTTCCTCTGGACTGTTCCTTCCACCATGCACTGTCTCTCCACACCGTGGTCCTTCGGGCCCACCGGTCCGTAGTCATGTTTGCAACTTTGCCTGCCCAGCGCTACTTTGCTTGTAAATAAATCGTTTCCCAACATTGGCAGTTTGCTTGCTTTGCTCTGGTTTCTGCGATATGCGTGGCTCGCTTGATCCAGCTGACGCATTCTTCATCTGGTCCTCGCTTCGGGCCCAAAATTCGGCGTAACATTGTTCTCTGTGTGCTTCGCAAGCGCTTCTTTTGAGCCACAGTGAGTTTCCACGACTCCGCGCACCACAAAACAGTCTTGGACACCGTCGTTTGGGAAAGGCGGAACCGTTTGATGTACGATGTGTCCTGCTTCATCAAAACATCGCAGAGACTTGAGAATTTGGCCCACCCTGCTCTGAGTCTGTGCTCGAACTCCCCGTTTGTGTTCCCGTTCATGGTTATCATCGTGCCAAGGACGTTGAAGACTTCGCTGCACCCGTTTAATGGATATCTGTCGCCCGCCAAGATGATCGATTCACCTGGAGACGCGTCTTTCCCTACGCACTGGATGCTGCATTTCCCAGAATTCACTTGCAGCCCAACCTTGGCCAAGGCATGCTTGATCGAGGCCAACATTTTTGTTCCAAGCCAAGCCCGAAGGAGCAGGACAAGACCAAGAACGCGATTGCTGGCCAGAACAATATGTAGGCTATGAAGAGGAATGAAGAAAACGTTGATCGCATATGTCACGCTACCGAACTCGACTTTTCCGTGCTTGAGCCAAGATGTTAAAGTTCAAATTCATCAATTCTATACAACTCTGCAACCATGTATGCGTGAATCCAAGCCCTCACTCGCTGACTCCTGAAATTCAGAGTTCCTCCTCCTCCTCCTCCTCCCTCTCCTACCTGTGGTAGTGGTGGTGGAGAATCGGCACATCAGCCGAGGCCACCAAAGCCGCGCCGGCGCAGCAGCAGGTACAGCACCGGCCGTACGCCGGGCACGAGTCGGTTCGCTCTCGGAGGAAGCAGAGTGGCATCAGCACAAGCTCTCGGAGGTCCGCGTGGACTTCTTGGATCGGCGCTGCACCCTCATCACTGGCGCGGGGAGCGCGCCCAGGGCGGCGCCGCAGGCGCCGCCTGGGGGGCCAAGCGCAGATCCAAGGAATCCGCGCGGAGCTCCGAAACTGTGTGCTTGTGCCATCTTGTCTCGAGCAGAGACCAGCCGCCCCGGCATTCCTATAGGCCCACCACGAAACGCTCTTGGCACCGAAAGGTTCTGGGAACAGTCTCTGGCGGGCCTCTTCTAGGCAGGCCAGGACGCTCCGCCACTGCTCGACTTCCTGCCTCCTCGAGCTCTGCCGAGGTGGCACGTCCGCGCGTCGTAGACGATGGCGGAGCCGGGCTCGATCGGAACCCCGATCGGCGCGGGCGCGGCCGCGGCGTCGCAGGGCTCGCCCGCGGCGTGGGATGCGGGCTGGAGCGCCAGCTCGCCGCCGCCGCTCGGCAGCGCGACCAGCGGTATGTGCACGGAGGCCACGGCCCCCCGCTCGGCGAGGACGTCGCGGTGCAGCTCCTGCTCGCGGCTGCCTTCGGGCGCGAGCACGGCCGTCACCGCGTCGAGGTCCAGGGCGTCGGCGCCGATGCTCGGACCAGGGCGAGCGGAGGCCGTCGGATACACGCAAGAGTGGCCCTACTTGGGCGAGGGTGGCCCTTGCTGCGCGGCTCTCGGGGGCCGTGGGGAGACCCCGTCCGAGCGCGCAGGCGAGCGCTGGAGGGGCTCCTTATAGTGGGCCCGCACCGCAGGCCACTCCGACTATAGTAGGGGTCCCTCCTGCGCGTGGCCGAGACCACCGCAGCTCAAACTCGGCCCCCGGGACCCCTCCCGGGGGCCCAGGCGCGCCAGCCGTCCAGCCGTGGCGACGAGGGACCCCCCCCCCCCGGAGGCCGGCTGCCGCTGCCTCGGCTCGCCCTCCTCCGAGATGTACGCCTCCGCCACCCGCATCCAGAGGCCGTCGTGCAGCAGCGGCGGCGCACTGAACGGCGGCGCGAAGGGGAGCAGCTGCTCGCTGCGGCCGTCCCGCAGGGCGGCCGTCGGCAGAGCGGTCGCGGGCAGCGAGCGGTAGCCGTGCAGCAGCTCGCGCACGTGCGCGACCGAGAGCGCGCCGCGCAGCAGGACGAAGCCGCACGTGCGCAGCGCGGTGACAGCGGCTGCGACGGTCGTGGCGGCCGTCGACGCCATGGCTTCAACCGCGGGGATGGCGTCGCACGCTGAGGTGTTCGTCGAGGGGAAGAAAGCGGGGACCACGACCAAGATTGAACGCAGACACGACGTGACGATCCTGGTCACCGCCGATCTTGGTCAGCAACATCTCGCAAGTCGTCCTGGCGAATCGGCGACGGCCGATGCCTACATGGACCATGACCAAAATCAGTATCGACAAGATCCCGCGACACACTGGTCCTGGTCCCCGTGTTTCTTCCCTCGAGCTCATTCGATGTCCACACCGAAGTATAATCGCACAGGCTTCATGCACTCGGTGTCTCGGTGGTCCAGAGAACTATGAGCCCAGATAGCCTCTCCCAGGCGATTTTTCCGACCGCTCCTCTGAATGATCGAAGACATCAGAATAAGCCGCCCGTCGACTCTCCAGAACTTCTTCGCCCTGACCTTGAATCAGATCCGCCACCGTGCCTTTTGCACGTTGGGGCGTGGAAGAATGCCACGATCCGTCGGGTGTCTCGACGCACCCAGCTGCATGCATCGTCCCCTCTTCCCGAGGCCATAATATCTCGAAAACGCCGCACATTCGCGCTCACAAGGCCCAGATGCCTCCAAGACAGTCCAATACCACTCCAAGACGGGCCGCGTTGGCCTCAAGAGGGCCCAAGATGGCTTCAGGACGGCCCACGTGGTCGAGGCGTCCCAAGAGGGGCCCAAAGGGCCTTCCCAAGAGGTCCTCGAGAGGCACGCATCGAGAAGCTTGCTTAGGTTTGTCAATGTTTTTCGGGTTCTCACCTGTTCGAGCTTCCAGGCCGACCCCAGAGACCGCCGGGACTGTCCCAAGGCGGCCCAAGAGGCGCCCATTGATACCCAGGAGGGCCCCAAGACGGCCACAAGAAGGGCCCAAGAGGGTGATCACGAATCGACAATTCGAGCCTTCCGCCCCAAGAGGGCTCAGGAGGCCCCAGGAGTGTCGAAAGAGGCCCCCCGAGAGGGCACCGAGGAGTAAACACCATTGATCCCCCTTGGCTGTTTCAATCTTTTTGGGGTTACTCGCCTTTTCCAGCTTCCGACGCTCCTAGAGCGCCCAAGAGGCCCCCCCCCGAGACTCCCCCGAGACGGCTCAAGAGGCCCCAAAGAAAGCTCCAAGACGGCTCCAGAGGGCTCCAAGGCGGCTCAAGAGGCGCCCACGACCGCCCGGAGGTCCCGAGGCG